GAGATGACCCTGTCACAGCTAGTGACAATAAACACAGAATATGTGTTTATAGCGATTACTTTGCACTGGGTACTATTCTGCTGCTTTAAAAAAGAGTAACTCACTTAGATCCTCACAACAATTGTAAGAAATAGGTTCTATTATTAGTCTCCTTTTGTGGATAGGAAAACTGAAGCAGGACTCCAGAGCTGGTATGCTCCAGGACAGGATTCAGGGGATATCCTTATGTAGAAGAGGTGGCATGGATATGGAGGGGGTGACTGGCCGCAGAATGATATCTCAGATGAGCTCTTTCTGTGCTTGTGTGCTCAGGGGCAAACCAGCATTTTCTGCTTTCATTAGCTAAGTACTTTGTTAGCATCAGGTATTGGACTTGGATGCTGCAGGCAGGTAGAGAATCAGCTGCCATCTGATCCCTGCTTGCTTCCACCACAGAGGGGTCACAGCCTCGTTGGGTAAGATAGAGGAACAGGCAAACTGTATTGAAGGCTCTGGCCCAAGGCAGGGGGCAGGGAGCAGGGAGCATGAAATAGCAGGCAGGGACTCAAAGTTACAGGGCAGTATGTGAGCAGAATGGCCAAAGACAGAGAGGGTTAATTCTGACACACAGCAGTCCTGTCAGGCAGTGGGGCTTTCCTGACTGATGCTTTGTGGAAACTGATCTCCAGGCCTTTCTTTCTTCTGCAGTGCTGCTGAGTAGGCTCAAACTTCAAATCTTCAGATTGTTGTTGCTATGTGACATTGAGTCAGAACCAATTCATACCTGACCCTCCTGAGAGTTTTTAAGAAATTTATAAATTGCATGGGAGGAGAATGCCTTTGGGTTGACAGTACAATTCCTTACCACTAGGCCACCAGAGCTCCCCTAAATGTCAGATTGTTGTAGTTGCTAGGTGCCATTGAGTCAAATACGACTAACAGTTACCCTGTGAACAACGGATGTGAACCCTGTTCTATCTTGTGCCACACTCATCATTAAAGACTTGAGCCAATTGCTACAAAAGCTTCTCTGCAGTTTACTACAAGAGTCAGAGCCTGGAGGTTTCAGAGAGCCCTTCTCTCTCTCTCTCTCTCTCTCTCTCTCTCTCTCTCTCTCTCTGCCATTGGGTCAGAACAGATTCGTAGCTGACCCTCCAGAGCCTGTATATCGCAGGGAAGGAGACTGCCCATCCTTTTCCCTTGGAGTCACTGGTAGATTTGAACCACTAGAGATGGGGCCTCTAAGTTAGTAGCACATCATGCTACAGATTATGCCACCAGAGCTATTTTTTAAAATTACTATTATTATCCTTTTTTCAAGCCTCTTTTTAAGAGGTCACCAGCTAGCTCTAAAGCTTCCAAATACCCCCCCCCTTTTTTTTTTTTAAAAAAAGGTAGAGACAGAAATAACTACATCAACAGCCTGTGCCCCTGGTCTGAGGGTTATAACCAGAAGCACCAGCTGGTTCACGTGGTTCCAGCTATGGGGACATTTGACTTTGAGGTCTTAAGTTGAAGTTGGCCAATGCCTCCCCTTTGGATTAGCTCAAGGATCTCTACTCCAATAAAACACAGCATCTCAGGTATCTTATAACGGGATTCAAATAGATTGAATTCTTTTTTCCTCCCTTATCGCTTTGCACACATGAAATCTATTTTGAATTGGCTTTCAATATATGGTCCTGGGGGAAAAAAAACCCACCCCAACCCTAAAGATTGCTTCTACTCTCAAATTGTGCATAGAGAAAGAAAGATTTATCTTGTAAGTTTCTTTTTAAAAAGAGTCTATATGTGCTCAATGCATTTAAATAACACTCATTAAGGTGAACTGCATGCACGCTGCCTTCTCTAGTCACAGATGAGAGACAATCACTTGACCTACTGCAGATCAAAAAAGCATTTCCACGGCACCTTTATTTTTCAATTGGTTAAGTTTTAAATTAAAGTCCCTACAGTTTTTGGGAAAGCCGACTCGCATCGCCCCAACTGAAATTTCAGCTCAGTCAATTGGAAGATAATTACAAGAAACAAAATGTGAAATTTTAAATCAGGGCACTAATGAAGTCTAAAAATACCGGTGGCCCATCCCTCTGGTTGGCAAGACCTGTTCTTCACGGAGGGGAATCTCTCCGTAATTACTCAACCCCGGGAGAGGCCAGGTTGTCACGTCAAACAATAGTAGGAAGAATCCTGGGATTTTTAATGAGCTAGATCTCCAGGCTTTCCAGAGTGGATCTTATTATAATGTAGGCAAGGTTTCAAATGGGGAACAGGAGACAAAGTTCTTTGTGGTGGTCCCCCCCCACCCCCACGGAGGTCTAACTTGTGTTGATGGCATCACGTTATACTCCCAGGCCCCACCCGGTGTCAGCTGTCTGTCATTCAGGAGTGTGAAATCAATTGGACTTCAGAGATGTAAAATCCTGAGGGGCAGAATGAAAATGACCCACATCTAAACTCACGTGGTCCTGTCAAGGAATATGATTCCAGCATGGCCTGTATTAAAGATTTGGTTTCAAAATTCAGGTTTCTCATTTAGGGGGGGAAAATGCAGTTGTTTGACATTAGATCTGACAGGCAAATTATAGGTTTGGCAATGAAGGCTTTTAAGATTAGAAATGAAGGAGAAATTAGTCAAACACACACACACACACACACATACACACCCATACCACACACACACACACACACACACACACACCCCTACCGAGGCTCTGTTTTCATATTGGTATGTGCATGCTTTCATTACTTTTCTTTATTTCAAATAGAAGGGGGTCATGAACAGAGAGGAGCGTTAAATGCAGTTTATGGGGAAACAGCCATCTAGCTGGCGACTTATGGAGATCAGCATGGTGGTCACCAGTTGTCACTAACTCACATTTCTGGCTCAGCTGAACCCAGAACCATGGTCAAGTTGGAGGCCCCCAGCATCCCTGGTCTACAATCTACTTCAGAAACGGGAAGAGCAAGTCCCATCAGGAGTCCTCTCCCTCTCCTTGCCTCTCCTCCTGTCCAGTGAGCTGCCTGCTGCTCCGTGTCCATGCACAGAAGTTATGGAGGTGGCTCTGCAGTGCTTGCCCGCTGACCCAGCATGCACAGGCCACTGCAGAGGCCATTCACTCACTGACTCTGATGGCTGTGGACGTTTGGATCCACTGCTCTGGGAGCCTTGGTGGGGTGGACTCTAGCTGGTGCTAAGCCCCAAATCAGGGGCTCCAGGCCTTTCTGGTCTAGGTGTCCCTATGGACAATAATATTCCTTTCATGTCTCGAACTTGCAAGCCCACTTTGATCAGCCCTGGGAGGCTCTGGGGTAGAGGTGGGGGTTGCGAACTCTCATGGGGGGCAGGGAGGGAAGCCCTCCAGTACTCAGGCCCAGAAGGAACTGGGACCCCCCCACTGCCCTGTGTTTCAGAGTTGGTGGCTCCTACACTGGGAACAAGGTTTTGTTTTTTTGGGGTATTTTTTCTCCCTCCAAGTAAAGGGAGTGGGAGCTTAACCAAAACAATTCAAACAAAAAATCAATTTAGTCAATTTTTTAAAAAAGATCTTAAACAAAGCAAGAGTTTAGCAGAATTTAAATGTAATTTTCTATAATTCTGTCACTTAAAACCAGTGCTGATTTCCAAAACAAAGGCAGTCAGGGCTCAATCAGATTGGGAATTAAACCCAACAGAGATCTAGACATGGGCTTTGTTGTCGGGATGTTTGACAAGGCCTGAAAATTGCTCAAAGGGATAAAGATAGAGATTTATGAGAGCAGGCGGGGAAGAGAATGGCTAGTTGGATTTGTTGCTCTACTAAGACGTGGGGCCCACTGAGATGTGATTTCAAGGAGCTTTAGGAAGGGGGCGGAGAACGTGCGCTGAGAGGGCCATGCTTTCTGGGGCCAAAGAGACCACCTAGCTGCCTCCTACCCCTTCCACAAAGGTAAAGAGGCCCAGTTAGGAAGCCTGTCTGATCCACTCACCTCCTCCACATGCCCCCAGCATGTCCTGCACCACCCTCTCCAGGAACAGCCTGCCTGCTGAGGCCCACTGTCACAGGCCCCATCCTCCTGCTCCATCCACATCCAGCCCTGGCAAAGCACTCAGTCCCTGACATCTGCTAATGCCCTTTGGTTTAACCTAGAGGTCCTGGGGTGGTGCACATGGTGAAGCTGCTGACTGAAAGGCTGGTGATTTGGATCCACTCAGATCTGTGAAGAGAGATCTATTTTTGAGAACGTAGTCACTGTAAACCCTCGGGAGCAGAGTTTTTCTCTGATACACCTGGGGCCGCTGTGAGTCTGAACTGAGCCGACAGCCACTGGGTTTTGGTTTGGCTCTAGCTCAGGAGGGGTCCAAGGGGCCTTGTCCATAGAACAACATTCCTGGTGTCTCCCTTATACACTGTGACCCACCTTTTGACTCCCGGGCATGAACGCTTCCCTGGGACTGGCTAGCTGAAGGCTGAGGCTGGAGGGGTCTCTCTGAGTCTCATAGGACCGCCCTTGGGTCCTGAAAACAAAACACTGCTGTGCCTGGGGATGGTCTGGGGATTCTGCTAAATGCTCCTGGAGCTGCAGTCTCCCAGAGTCCAGTAGAGGGGATGGCCACAGCCACTTCATATCCAGATCGTCCTCTGTGGACAGGAAATGGCAGCGGTGCGTGCAGGAATCATCCCTAGAGTCCCGAGAGGAACCAACGATTCCTTTACATTCTCCACTTTGGTCTAGCAGAGGGTCAGAGGTCAGACTGGCCAGAGTGTGGGCTGGAGGGGGACAGATGGTGGACCCCACAGGCTCTCCTCTTCTTTCCTCCTCTCCCCCTTCTCCACCTCCTGCATTGGCTCTACTTTCGTGTTCTGTTCCCCGCTGAGGCTGAGTACTTTGGGTAGGGAGGCTCCCTAGACCCGGTGAGGCCAGAGGAGCTGCTGAGGAGTACAGGCTGCCATGACCCATGGCCCTCTCCTTGCTGCAGTGACCCCGACAGGGAGAGACACACTCAGGGAGGCAGGTGGCATGAAGGGAGCAGGACTTACCTTTGGGGTGCCCTGGGTCGGTGAACTCATATTTCCCCACGCCAATGGTCCGCAGCATCTGCAGCCCGTGGGCCGAGTCGGAGCTGGGGGGCCCATTGGTGGCTGGGGCACTGCTGGGCAGAGTGGCAGATGGCTGGGCTGATGGTTGCGGAGGCAGCAGGGGCCCTGCCATGTGGCCGTTGCCCACCGCAGCGGGTCCGGGGCGGGCCACCTGCCCCACACCAGGCAGCGTGGACACAGCCAAGGACTGTGGGCTGGCATACAAGGCCTGGGCAGGCATGTTGACTACCACGCTGCTCAGAGGCTGGGAGGGCGGCTGGGGGAGTGAGTAGTGGCCAGGCATAAGCGGGAGCTGCGGCCCCACGTGGGGAGGCAGTGAGGGGGTCACCCCAATGACTGGGGCCTGGACGTTCACAGCTGGGCTGAAGGTGGGAGGCTGGGCCACTCCATAGGAGTGTGCGATCAGGGCGGGCTGGCTCCCGGCGGCCACCGTGGTCACCCATGGCCCTGTGCCTGTAAGGGAGAGAGAAGAGAGGTCATATGCTGGTTAGAAATTCACTCAAGAAACACTGCCGCAGGCCCTAGGTTGGGTGCTGGGGCCACCAAGGAGAAAAGCCATGTGCATTCAGAATTTACTAACTGGTTATCAGTTATTACAATAGCACAGGGCAAGGACATTAGTAATCTATGAACAAGTGGCTGTGGGACACCAGAGGAACACTTGAGATTTGCCTGGAGGAGTCAGAGAAGCAACAAAGCTGAGATAAAAAAGCAACAGAAACCTCCTAAGTGGCCTGGGTTCAAATCTTGGCTCTGCCACTCAATTAGCTAAAAACCTCAGGCAAGTTGCTAATTGTTCGAGACACAATCATCTCACTTGTTATGTGGGATAGCAACACCTGCCTCACAGGACCACTGGAATGAAATATATGAGGAAAAGGTATTTGAGCGATCGGAAAGAAACCAGTAGTTTCTAGCACATGGTAAATGTTCAACAAATATTGGTGTTTCTTTGCTGTTTCTGTGCCTGGTGGAGGTCTGGGAGCAAGATAAGGGAGTGAAAGGGTAGTTGCTTGCTGGAAAAGGTGAGTCCCAGGATTTGGGACTGAGTGAGGTTCAGGAGGAACGTGAGAGGCAGGATGAGGTGGCAGTGTGGAGAGGTGGATGGGACCAGCATTGCTGGGTAGGTTGAGCTTTCTCCTAAACTTCCTCTTCCGGAATAGCCTGGAGCAGATGGGGGTGAGGAACAAGACACACTCACTCTGGCTCTGTCATGGACTGAATTGTGTCCCCGAAAATATCTATCAACTAGACTGGGTCAGGATTCTCAGTAGCTTGGCAGCTATGCAATGATGTCATTATCCCATGATGTGATTGGATGCCACTAGCCAATCAGTTGTAAAGGGATTAGGGTGCAATGCAAAACCCTTACTCAAGTCCACTGATCCTCTGTAAAAGGTATGGAGTATGTTTGGTGCTACCCTTTATCATACAAGAGATTAAAATAAGAAAAGAAAGCAGAGAGAGATCTCAGGACTGTCAAGACGGACGATGTGGGAGTAGACTGCACTCTTTGCAACCAGAGTCCCTGCACTGAGAACCTCCTAGACCCAGGGGAAGATTTATGCCAAGACACTTGGAGATCTCCAAGGAGTGCTGGACCCACGGATGATGAAAGGAGACAAGGCTTTTCTCTCTGATGTGACATGGAGAGAAAATCTCTCTCTAGAGTAAGTGTCCTGAATTTGGACTTCTAGTCTCTTAAATTGTGGAAAAAATAAATTTCTATTTTTTAAAGTCATCCACTTGTAGTATTTCTATAACAGTAGCACTAGGTAATTAAAACAAGTTCTTAAAGACACTGAGTAAACAAGTGGGTCCAGACAGAGTTCTGACCAGTGGAATCCAGGTTCAGGTCGTAGGGGCCTCTAGGCTGAGCTGATATGAGTGATGGGTGGTCTCTAAGAGAGGCCTCTGTCACTGGGGCATCACTGTGATATACATGCTAGCTCTGAGGTGGCAGTACAGACTGAGGATAAAGGATCTGAGGAAGGACAGTCGGGGTGAGGGGGACCCTCTAGACCACCAGACCCAGGCCCAGGAAGTGGGCCTTATATCCTCACAGAAATAAGATGACTGCCTGTCCACTGTTGGGGCTGTGCCTGAGAAGCGGCTGAGAGGGAAAGCCACATGGTGGGGTGGTGAGGAGCTAGGGCCATGGCTCAGCCAAATCCAGGTAAGAGTCTCGATCTGTCTCCTCCTGGCTGAGTGACCTTAGTCACAAGGCTTCCCTGAGTCAGCGTCCTCTTCGACAACATGGTCATTTATAAGACAAGCATCACAAGCTGGTGTGAGAACAAAGGCAGTCCTCAGAAACAGGCACTTAACAAATGTCCAAGAGGTACTTATGATTGATAACAAGCTGCGGAAAATGAGAAGGTGGCACCTATCAGTGAGGAGCAGCCCCATGATTCAGTGATGCAGACGATCCTAGAACAGGGTGCAAAGGGAGGGAGCCTCCCTCTAATCAGAAGAAGAGGTCTTACCACTATGATAAAGACAAGGCATGACATTTCAAACTCTGTTTTCTCCCTGATTGGCCAGAGAGCCTGGAAGAATGAGCCAGAACTTCCAAGAAGGCTGGAGAAGTCGCAGATAACTTTGGCAGGAGGGGAAGGCCCTCTATGAGGTGGATTGATTCAGTGACTGGGATAATCGGATGGGAGTGCCAGAGGCAGTGCGATTGGCACAAGACAGAGCAGAGTTTAGGGCTGTTGTACATAGGGTTGCTACGAGTCGCAAGCAACTCGACGGCACATAACACCACCACCACTACACGAATGTAGTGAGATAGAGAAACCTGTGAAAGAGTGAATGACCAAAGGATACTGAGACACTAGAGAGAGAGGAACCTGTGGGAGGTGCAAGTAGTTATACACTTGGCTGCTAACTGAGAGGCTGACAGTTTGAACTCATCCAGAGTTAACTGGGGCAGTGGGATTAGGTGTGTCAGAGTCAGTTAGACTGGCTCAGGATAAGGCAGGATTCAGAGCTATTGTACAGAAGGCTGCTATGAATTGCAGGTGACTCGATGGCACACCACCACCACAACAGAGAAATCTAAAGGGGAGGGGGAGATCTGCTTCTGAAATTCACAGCCATGAAAGCCCAATGGAATGGAGCTCAATTCTATACCCTTGGGGATGCCATGAGATGGAATCGGCTGTACGGGAGCTCATTTTCTTTTTTAAAAGGGTGACCACTAGTAATGTGTCATAAGCCATTCTCAGCATTATTTTCAATGACCTGGATGATGAGGAAGAAGACGTGCCAATCAAGTCTGTAGGCGACATAACATTGGTGGGGGTGGGAACAGGTTAGCCCATGGAATCTGGAGTCCGAGAAATCCTGAGCCATCCAGGAAGAGGCTGGCTGATGAAGCCTGTCTCGTGGTTCTAAACCAGATTCTGAAGTGATAAGCATGGCAGAGGCAGTGACTGTAATAGACCCGGGGTGCTGGCTGTGGAGGCAGCATGTGATGTGGCTATGGCAGGGTGGCTGTCATCTCAGGTTGTAATGTTAAGAATGGAGGGTAGGATGAAGGGAGGGCTGGCTAGCCCACACGTGGGTCATTTGTACTGGGTTCCGTCTGCAGGGAAAAGGGGCTCGGCTGAAGGGCTTACAGAAAATATGAGGGTTCTGAAGTGAGTCTCCACGTGTTTGAAGGGTTGTTGGGGTAGGATAAGCAGAAGTGTTTTGTGAATCCTGCAGGGAGGTCTGGGACCTATGGAAGCAAGAAAGGTGGGCCTCTGTATGTCCAGGGCAGTTCCCAGAAGGAGTGTAGGAGGTCAGAGCTCAGTTCTTGGGTCTAGAGTCCCTCTGTTCTCATATAAATAGTTGTTGGAGAAGACCTCACTATAAAGTGTAACTCAAGAGATTTGTTTTGAATCAGAGTACTAAGGTTATTAAAATGAACCTGAAGCAAATTCAAAGCCATCCCTGCTAGGTTACTGAGAATCCGATGTCCTTGCAAATATTTTGAATTGGGAGGAAAGTGGTGACACAGGTACCACGGGGTGCGTGAGGGTGGGCCTCCTACAGGCTGCAGGACAGGATCTGCCGAGGAGTGGGGGCACCCCTACCGCCCCTCCCAGCCCCGAGGTAGATTGCTCTGCCGAGGGACAAGTACACACCTGGGTTGTCGCTCTCCCTCATCTGTTTGGACGGTGGTTCGTCAGTGTCCCAGGGTGTGGACTGATTGATGGGCGTCTGTCCCCACCGGATGCTGGTTGCCAGTCCTTGGGACTGACTGTCTGCCTTGGAGATACCAGGGGCCTGTGGGAAAGCAGAGCAGGGGGTGAGTACAGCCTCGTAGGGGTCATTGTCCTTGGTCAGACACCCCCAGAACAAGACTCCTGGAGCATCCATTGAACAAGGAGTTAGAGGTAGAGCACCTGGCCCCACACCCAGCCCCATAGGGAACTCATAGAGCATTTTGATCTAGAACTAGCAGATGTGGCTTCTGCTAAGCTCCTGCCTCCAGGAACACCCAACCCAGTGCCTCTCAGGCCACTTTTATAATCAAATGTGCCATTTGAGTGATCATAGGAAGGATTGTCCTGTGTGATGAGGTGGGAAGTTCCCTTACAATACAACACAACATAGCAGAGCATAACAACATTTGTTGCAAGTTATCCCTGGGTGTAGGGTAAGCAGTGATGTGGTTCCAGCCAGACCCACTGGCAACATCCTCTCCTATGACCTGGCCTTTGCTACATGTTGTCATTGTTGTGTGCCATTGAGTGGGAATCAACCCGTAGCTGACCCTCCCTCCAGTGGGTTTTCAGAGGCAATAAATTGCACGGGAGGAGACTGTCCATCCTCCTGGGAAGCAGCTGGTGGCCTTTGGGATTGCAGTACTGCTTTTTACCACTAGGCAACGGAGGTTGGTTTTCCACTAAGCACCTTAATCAGGCCTCAAGTGAACATCGATAAATGCAAGTATGTAGAGATTTAAAAGTTGTCAGGGGTTATTAGTGGCAAGTGAGAGGGAAGGGAAGAGGGAACCTCACTCCTTAGGGGCAAATGGGTGTTGGGGTTTGAATTCCATCCTCCAAATCCTATAATTCTGGGTTTAATCTCATTTGGAGAGAGGGTTTTTGTTTTGTTAATGAAGTCATATCAGTGCAGGGTGTGTCCGAGGCCAATTGTTGAGATATGAATGGCACAGAAGGTGGCTGACACAAGGAGAGATTGACATTCTCTCAACACTCACTAGAGGTAGACCAGTGTACAAGTTCAGGAAACTCAAGGATGAGCGGTCACAGAAGCAGAAAGAAGGATTTGTACACCTAGAATTAATACGCATGCACAGAGAGAGAGACAAAGAAAAAGAGAGGTAAAGAGAAAGAGAGAGACAGACAAACATATTAGATTCTGAGACCTCTTCCAGAGTAGGTGTCCTGAATTTTTACTTCTAAACTGAGAAAGAAAATAAATTTCCATTTATTAAAGCCACTCACTTGTGGTATTTCTGTTATAACACCGGTAATCCAAAAAAGAATCTAATGGATGGAGAGGCGTACTGCCAACTCTAAGGTGGGCAGTTCAAATTAAGAGAAAGCTTTTCATCAGGAGAATGATGGGCAGTCTTCTCCCATGCCATTTACATTCAATGAAAATGCCACTGGTGGGTCAGCTGTGAGTGGGTTCCAATTCACGTGGTGTTGAGCCAACCAGTTCATTTCCATTAAATGTGATGGGAAGATATGGATATGGATAATGGTCATGGCTGAACAACACGACAAACATGATCAGTGTCACTGAATTGTATATATGTAGAAGGTTGAAATGGCAAAGAATTTGCTACATATATATTGATCCTGTGAAATGGGCAAAAGACATGGGAACAATTTTCATAGAGCAAGATATTCAAAAGGCAAACAGAGACATGAAGAAATGCTCAAAATCACTGGCAACAAGAGACACAAATAAAAGCCACAATGAGGTACCATCTCACTCCAATTACAGTGGCGAAGTTTAACAGGTCAGCAAGTAATAAATGTTGGAGAGGATCTGGCAAGAAAGGAACTCTTATACATTGTTGATGGGACTGTAAAATGGTATAACCATTCTGGAAGGCAGTTTGGCGCTTCCTCAAAAAGCTGAACATAGAAATTCCATATGACCCAGATATTCCACTAGTTGGAACATACCCTGAGGAAATTGAGAACTGAGGGACAGAGACTTGTACACCAATGTTCGTAGCAGCATTATTCACCATTGCAGGAACATGGAAAGAGCCCAAATGTCCAACCACAAACGAATGGATTGAAAAATTATGATACATTCATACAATGATTGATTTCTTAACTACTGTCTCCATTGGTGTTGATTGTGGATCCAAATAACATAAAATTCTTGGCAACTTTAATCTTTTCTCTATCTTGATGTTTCTGTAATGCTGGAAGCTATATCAAAAGCATATGAAATACCAGTGGGATCATTAAAAATGGATAGGTTTCATTGGAGCTTCTAGAAAAAGACAGAAGAATGATCTGGGGATTTATTTTTTTAAAAATTGGTTAGTGAAAACCTTCTGGATATCATTAGAACATGGTCTGGTAGATGTGTTGTTGTTATGTACCATCAAGTCTGAACTGACTCGAGTTTGCAGTAGCTATAAATTGTATGGGAAGAGACTGCCCATCTTTCTCCCAAGGATCAGCTGGTGGATTTGAACTTCTTGCCTTTAAACTGGCACACAACCCCTTCCATCCTAGGCCACCAGAGATCTCAGGTTCTGTCTGAGATAGAGTTGGAAAATGAGCCCCTAAGGTTGGGAGTCAATCAAAATGTGTCCAGGTATGAGCTGCCTCCTCAGAGTAGAACAGATCTTCGTGGTGTGCACAGAGCAAAGCTTTCAGGATCTTTACATGCTGATACCGCTTGACTCAAAATAGGAAGAGACAGCTGTAAACATCCATTAATAACTGGTATGGTGAATAGACAAAGAATGAATCAGGGAAAATTGAAAATGTAAAAAAATGGAATGGAACACTCGAAGATTGATATCTGAGGTGTTAGTGAGCTGGGATGCACTGATACTGGCCTTTTTGAACCAGATAATCATATGGTCTACTGTGCCGGAAATGGCACATTGAAGAGGAGTGGTGTCATATTCATCATCAAAGAGAAACTTTCAGGATCTATTCTGGAATAGAATGCTGTCAGTGACAGAATGGTATTCATATTCCTAAAAGGAAGACCAGTTAATGACTATAATCCAAAATTACACACACACACACACACACACACACACACACACTAACATCAGTGAAGATCTCCCCCTCAGATTTTACAGTAAAAAAATTGATCAAAACAGTAATTAAGATGTGTTAATACTTACAGATCATTGCAAAAGTGAAAGTTGGGAAACAAAGGAAAATTGGTAGTTGGGGGGGTGGGGAATTAGCCTTGGTGATAGAAATGATGTCCTTGACTGCATGATAAAATTTTGAAAAAAAAATTTTTGCAAGCCCAATTACTTATTCATCACAAATAGTTCCCGCCCAACCCCAAGCACACAAATGGCAACTCCGCATGTGGATCTTGCTGCATAGAATACATGGGAATCACATCAACTACATCTGCATAAAGAAATGATGGAGCAGCTCAATGTCGTCAGTCAGAATAGGGTCAGGTGCTGACTGCAGATCGTCAGTGCTCTCACATGCAAGTTCAAGTTGAAGCTGAAGATATTTATATCAATGAGAAGGTAATAATCAGTGTAAATGCAAACATCGGGAGATATTGGCTTCCCTGAGCGAATCCACATTATGATAGAATATAATAAAGCCATAAAAAGTCTAATAAGAAATTTTAATATGATGACAGAATGCTTATACTATAAAGTTGAGTGGGAAACCATGAGAAACTGAAACACAGCCTCACTATATCATACAATATGCACAGAAGGGGAAGAACCACAATGTTAATAGAGATGTATCTTGTGTGAAGAGACTGTCTTTGATAATGAGTGCCATCAAGTTGATTACGACTTAGAGTAATCCCATGAGCAACAGACCTGTACTCTGCCCTATCCTGTACTATTTCAATGATTTCTGAAATGCTGAAGCGCATTATTACAGCCACTGTGTGAATTCATTTTTTTAGAGTATTTCTCTCTTTCTCTGACCTCCCACTTTGCCCAGAGACTGGCCCCTCCTGACAACATGCCCCTAATGTATACAAGACAAAGTTTGGCCATCCTTGACTCTAAGGTGCACCCTGGTTGCACTTCCTCTAAGGTGTATTTGTTTTCCTGGCAGTTCATGGGATATTCAGTTCTCTTCTTTAACACTACAACTCAAAGGCATCGGTTATTTATTCTTCTAATGCCTTTATTGAATGTGCATCTTTCCAATGCATAGAAAGTAATTAAAAAGAACATTGCATGAATCAAGTCTAGCCTAGTCTTCAAACTGACACTGATGCTCTTTAACACTTGGAAGAAGTCTTTGACAGCAGACTTTCCCATTGCTATACATCTCTAATCTCCTGATTGCTGGTACCAAGCATGTTGATTGTGGGCCCAGGAAAGATGTAATCACTGACAATTTCAATCGTATCTCCATCTATCCTGATGTTGCTCATGGGTCCAGGGGTGAGAATTTTTGTTTTCTTGATGTGGTGATATAATCTATATTGAAGGCTGTCATCTTTGATCTTGTGTAGCAATTGCTTCAAGTCCTCTTTACTTTCTGCAAATGAGGTTGTGTCATCCGCATAATGCAGGCTGTCCTCTAATCTTTCTTCTTTATATAGTCCAGTTTCTAGCATAGTTTGCTAAGCATACAGATTGAATAGGCATGGAGAAAGGACCAACCTCAACACATACCTTTCCTGGTTTTAAATCATACAGTGCTCCCTCGCTGAAGAGACTGGGGCTTTTTACTCTCTGCTGGCCTCATGAATTAGAGAGTTGTGCTGCCAACCCAAAGGTGAGTGGTTCAAATCCACTAGTTGCTCTGTAGGAGAAAGTTGGGCAATCTCCTCCAGTGTGATTTATTGCCTCTGAAAATCTCCTGGAGGGTCAGCTATGAGGCAGTTCTGACTTGAAAGCAACGAGTTGTTGTTTCTTCTCTTGGGTATATTTTTATGCTCTTTTCCAACTTTTATATCATGACTTGTAGTTAAAATAGGAAGAAAAAAATTTCCAACATATTGGAGAGTTAGTACTTGATATAACGGGGGCATGAAAGGACGGGGGTCTTGACAGAGTTAATTCCAGGAAGCATGACTGGAGCTTCCAGAAGCTGTGACTGAAGCCTAGC